AATAATTAGTAAGGTTAGGATTAGGGTTAGAATATTAGTATAGTGAGCTGGGTACCCCGTATAAGAATTCTAAATCCAGCCGTCCTGATTCTGAATCGGGGCAGCCAGATTCTGAATCAGGCAGATTCCAAATCTGGGTACAACATATATATGAAATAGAGCCACCAGAGCAAGCTTTATTGATATAAAAATAAAATTAATGTATAGAAATAGTTTGCTTTAGGGGACTGAAGAATGAGAACAAAAAAAATAAAGTCAAAACACTTATATTCTTATAAAACATCTGTGAATCCATCATAATGATAAGCAGATGAATGTGACAAAATTTAAGGTAAGTTGAGAAAGTTAAAAGGTTTTTCATGAAGTCGGTCAAGAATCGCATTAAGGATGTATAAAGCAAAATTTGTCTTACTAGCTATAATAATAGGATATACAGATGTTTTAACTTCTATTGCCACTTTAAAAGCTCTATGTTCAAAACTATCAACAGAGGGGCCTACTACAATACCTATAGTTCCTTCTGGTTGTTTGGTTCTAAAAAGTACTCCCAACAACTCATTCATGACTAGGTGACCTATAAAAAAATTTTTAGTTAAAAATAAACAATGCTTTCTTTTAAAAATAATCAATTAGTCACCTATATTATTTGCAGTCCAATTTTTATATTGAATAATAAATCAGATTCTAGAAACTTTACAAATAATATCAATACCTCTGTCACCTGGCCCGATAATAAATAAATAATAAAATTGAGTATATGTGTCATTATCATCAACTAATTAAAGAACTTGCAAGTCAGAATATTCTACAATGATGTTTTCAATAATTAGAGTATATCTTATTCACCATAAATTCTCTGATACCCTAGCATATCGTGAGAACATCAGAAACTATAAGAAAAAGAATGTTCACTGTCAAAGCAGTGGCTATGATACACTTTCAACTCCTTTTCTAGATATTTACACTGATGTGGCAGCATAACTTCAAATACATAATGACTTAACAAATAACTCAGTGAAAAACTCATCCTTTATCTATATATCGAATGCCTGCCTTCATTAGAATTCTTATAATTTCAAGTTCAAGCTCTCTTCCTTTTTGATATAGATTATACAAAGACTTTTTGATAAAATGCTTGATAACAGCTTTTTTAAACATTTTAATGTGAATATTTTTCAAATTATTTGAAATATTATTGTCTTAAATATAAATTCATCTTGATAAAAGAATTTGTAACTGTTAAAAAAACGTGCAATATAGTTATATTTAAACTCTGATATTTTTTTAAAAAGATGTGTTTTAAATATATAAATCCTGTTCTATTAGCTTAAATAGAAATTGTGCACTCAAAGATTATGATATGTAAGGCTTGAATAATATATATCCTTATCCATACTAACAGGTTATTATGATTAAAAAATGTGAGCTATTGTCAGAATATTGTTTAGAACATTGTGGGTTCTGCAACAACCAAATAAATTTGCATACAAAATTTTTATAACCTTCTATAATTATAAGGTCAGACCATTATGCGTATCAGTATAGCATGAGTTAATTGAACAATTTTGGTTAGATACTGATTTTAGAAATGAAAAAAATAAGTTATGCATAACAATAAGCCTTTTAAGGTGTACAGATAAATTTATATATGGAATTATTCTAATACATATTAAATGAATATCTTTATTATGTGCAAAATTATGTATAATGATAATGATAAAATTTGTTTAAACCATCATTAACAAATCATTAACTGATTTATTTTATTAAACATTAATATATTCAAGAATTATTATTATTATATTCACATTGTTTATACATTTCATCTACTACTTTTTTATATGTTTTACAATATAGGTGTGAATGATAATTGCATTTGTCACAGACCTTACACCCATGCTTCTATTCTTTAAAGATATGTTACTTTTTGATGTAATTTTGTTTGTTTTTACATGTATATATATTATTTAGATTTTCATTATTGAGTAGTTTTAGGCATCTCCCGGGAGATGCATATCTCCCATGAATTACCCAATGATGAGTCAAAATTTAGTCAGAATTTAGTATAATGTAATACAATCATGAAGATCAAAACAAACTTTCATTTTTTTTAAAAATCGTTTATTTCTCAAATATTTGCATAAGAAACTACCTTTCATGCCCTAACAAAAAATTTTCCTTGAGCAATTTTACTATACCTATTACTAACTTTAACTCTAACATAAACTCTAACTCTACCTTAAACGAATTTGGCTGTGGGAGATATATAACTTATATATATCCCGCAAGAGATGCCTATAATTTCCCTTTATTATTATATGTATTAATAAAAAAAAAATAATATATATATATGTGGCTAATTTTTTTATTAGATACTGGCTTTATCATAATATGTGGTACCATATATCTGTACCTGTCTTACAAATAAATTAATTGTGTTAAGGTTGAATTTTTAATTGAAGCATTATATTTAATTAAGTAATCAACATGAACTAGTATATAAAATACAAACTTTATTTCAGTATTTTCATGAATAACAAATATGTACAGTACAATTTAAAAATATACTAATGAGTGTAATATACATGTTACAGGTGCAGTATGTAGTGCAGTAGATACATGACATTGTGACCTGTGGGTCACATGCTACTATCTTTAGATCTGAAAAGTCATTGCTTTGTAATAAATAATAATTAAATATTTATTATATTTAAAAAAATATTATCTATATAATTTATAACTCTGCGAAGCTTTGTATTCTATCTATTACTAGTTTAGCTTATATGAGTATTCTATATATATGGGATATATATTCATTTTGATACTTCTTTGAAAGCTTAATGCTTAAAGCTCTTTTTTTAGCCAACTCTGGAGATATTCCATTTAATATAAAATTTTTATATGTTCGTATACGCCAATGATAATATAGCAAACTAGTTATTTTATCAGATAATATCTAATGCTTATTATCTATAGGGCAAAGAGCCTTCTTTTCTGATTCGACCAAAGATAACAGTCAACCGATTTGTTACATCTAAAGTTTTATATATAAAATTATAGCAAAAACATATAGAATTACTTATAAACTTTGAAGCTGTGATGTTTCTTCCCTTAGGGAGCTTCCATTTATTACGTAAATATAGTATCCTCCAAAGTCAGTCATTTGACAATTATAAGTTCTAAAGTAATCAATCATTTGACAATTACAAGCTCTAAAATAACTAATCGTATAGAGTTTATATTATGATTACTTTAGAACTTGTAATTGTCAAATGATTGATTCTGGAGGGAGGCTATATTTACATAATAAGTAGAAGTTCCCTTATATATTAATTTTAAATTAAATTTTATAAATAAATACATCATAAAAAGGAGAATAAAATGCTTTCAAAGCTGAATTAAAATTTTGCA